CAATACGAAATAATATCATCGAACAATATAATAGGCATAACAAACGAGCAGCGATATATTCCTACGCTATAAAAGAGAAAAATGTAGAGTCTATTATCTTCGATTTTTTTTCAAAATTGATGACCATCGAGGAAACACATGTTTCTCTCTCTTGTATTTAGAAGTAGTAAAAGAGAGAATAAAGTGTAGTTATTATTATTCATAACAAATATTAACACCACTAGAAAATCAACTAATAAAAGGGGGAAAAAATCTCGAAAGAAACAACAAAAGTCTTTTCGATTTGTGATAGATTTTTTTAAGGAAAAAATTTATGATGGATTAATAGGTTATTATCAAGAGGGGGACCCATCTGAGCAAAACTACAAATAATAAAGATCTTTAAGGCCTTCAATAATGCAACTTACTAATGATTTTGGCCTGTGGGGTTCACCAACAGAGAGGGATGGAGCTGCTAATAGTGTTGAGAGTTTAATTTAAGAACTACAGTGAGAAGATAAGTTTGCTCTCATGGGGTGTTTATTATGGATATTATAATTATATGGTACGATAATACTTTTATAGATTCAGTTATATTATACTTATGACTTATGAGGTTGGTATACGGGAGTTAATATTTGATTGTAAAATGGTCCTGCAGAGAAACGCTATTTGACCCAATAAATTTATTTTATTTTGTTACTTGCTTAATATTAAGGGTCCCTTATCTAGATTCGAACTCTGTTCACCGACGGCGCAGAGTTCATTTATTCAATCACAATGGCCTATGGAATGCTAATCAAATGATCATCATAATGTAATATGATCATGAACATAAATCAAAGCCATTTTATATTCTATGTATAATTGTCTTACACCTGTCTCTTGTAGGAGGAAATATCATCATACTCCCTTTAAAAGAGGGAGTTGTGAAAAAACTTTTCAATGACTATATTACCCCTATTCTTTTTTGATATTACATTCTAATACAAACTAAACTAAATTAATTTATCATTGTTAATTAATGATATTATATGTCACTTTAAATGTGTATAATTTGGTCTCTAAAACTTCCAATGTTATTATAAAACTCTACATCATATTAATTATTAATAATGTATAATAATATATTAATAGATAATTTCATGTTAGTAAAGTATTTATGGAAAGAATAGAAAACATAGAATTGTACTAAAATTATACCATGACACTCATATAGGAAAATACAAAGAACATTCTTATGTTTAGGTAATAGGATAAAATGTACAAACATAAAATTTTAGAAAACATTAGGACATTTAAGTGCAACAAGATACGCTATCTTAAATTAAAAAGAAAGTGCAACAAGATACAAGTGGAGGTGAACAAATAAAATCTACAATATTGGATTGTAAAAATTAGGGATATGTATATAATACTGGGTGTCATATGAGATAATATTCATACATAACATGACATTGTAATATGTAATCTAATATAGTAATGAATTTTAAACATAAGAACTTGCATCAAGATATGTGCTTAAGATTTGGGAGAGTCGAGAGTGGAGAGATTTGGGAGAAGAATTGTGGCCTTTCGTGGGGTTTTTGGGTTCCGATTTTTATCCCAAACATGATCCAAACCCGAGCCCACAATCAAATTAAAAATGACACGATTTTCTCGATATCTTTAAAGAGATACATCGGCCATATTTTCAATAGTGGTCGATATATCAAAAAAACCACAAACAAAAGAAAACAATATAAAATATTATCGAGATAAAGTCTTTGACCCAATATATTAGTCGATATAGCAATATATCGGCTGATATTTAATACAATGCCTGTAAGAGTAAATATGTAAATGTTATTTAGATATTAGTTTCTTGATTTTATATATTCAATAATTTTATGTTATTACCTCAAAATTTAAAATTGCTCATAATTTTAAGGACCAATATTAAATTATTAAAATTTTGAGGGACAATTTATAAATAAGCGATATTTAAAAGCAGAGTTAATATTTAAAAACTCTCTCAACTATGGGGATTGTCTTAAACCCCACTCAACCAATTCAATTTGACAAAACCCCCTTATTGTGAGGGGTGTTATAGATAGCCCCTCTCAAATTTGGTGCAATTTTAGAAAATACCTCTCAACTATAGCGTGTCTCATAAAACCTTCCCTAATCCTTTACATTTCTATTAACAAATTTCCTTAACATAGTTACTTCAATATGTGATTTGGACAAAATACCATATTGAAGAAAGCAATTTTAATAAGAAAGAAACCCTCAACTGATAATAAAAGGGCCACAACCAATTTATAATTATTTTTTCCTCTTTATCACCTCTTTTTCTTTCATCTGGTAAAAACCAAGGTATTTTTTTATGATTGATGGATATTTTAGTCTTTCCAAGTCAAGTACTTATCACATAATAGATAAGACTCCATGGTATTAATTTTGAGAGGTCAGGTTTAAGTGAAAAATATTCATAGGGATTAAATCAAAATTTTAAAGGTTGAGATAGATTATCTACAAAACACCCAAAACTTGACGGAGATTTACTCAGTTTTAAATAGTTTGTGGGGAAGGGGGTGGAGTGGGTTGACATGCCCCTCATAGTTGAGGGGGAGTTTTCTAAAATTAGCCCTTAAACAAAAGCACAACTTAAGGTACATGTGACATCAATTTTATACGAGTGGAGTTCATAGCAAGTCTATCACTCAATGAACTGGTTCGGGTTATTTTTCCTTAAATTTATCCTACTCATCAACTTTGAAAATCTTTTACTATAAGAATCTCTAAGAGAAATTTAATATTTATTTGGGATGGGTATGTGATCCTTCTGATTCCCCTTATCTTTCATGATTTGTAATAAATTATTTGACAAAATAAATCAAGTTGACATTTTATATTACTCACGTTCTTATAAGTTTATGAAGCTCATAGCTTGGATATGAATATTATTGCAGATATTGTATTCTTCTAACTTCTTAATCTAAATTTTTGGATGTTGTTTGACATTGGATAGATATGAATTATTTTATTAAAATACAATTAATATGAGTGCATAATATGTATAAATCATTCTCAGGCTATATTATATAATTTTCTGAAACTAGAGACTAATCGTTTTAACAAATCAATTAGTAGTTTGGAAGATGTAAAAAGAGTACAACATCATATTTTGGAATTGGAAGATGTAAAAAGAGTACAACATCATATTTTGGAATTGATCACATAATTTATATTTTCTTTCTTGATTGAATTTGCACATTCTATTTAGAAAATTCTAAAACAAAGTTTTTGAATATCTACAAACTCGGTTGCCGGATAAACAATAATGGAAGTAAACCACAGGTGGAAGTGATTTTTTTATAACTGAACAAAATCCTTGATGACTAGATAAACCTATCATTTTTCTTTGATGAATTCAAGAATTTATTTATTCATTAATAATAATAGTTTTTTTAGTATCGATCCCTTACATCATTAATATTTTGAAATTATACATTCAAATTACTAATTAATCTTAAATTATTAATATATTAAGACTTTAAGTGTAACTATTTCTCTAGAAGAAAAAATGTTAAAACCACACATGGAAATATCCAAAAAAATTTAATATATTATGATATTTATAAAGTTTTTTTCAACCATGTTATAATAAATAAATAAATTTAAAGTAAAAAATGAATTATTTACCCACGTGCAGTGCACGTGCATTCCACCTAGTATTTTAGAAACACCCGTGACAGATTAAAATCTTTGGAACTTGTTAGAATATAAATTATAGCTCACAATCTTAATTGCAACTTTGGACTTTTGATGTACAACATGGACCGTAGACATGCCATCAGAGCAATGAAGGTCCAATCTTACTTACCATAAATTTCTAAAGCAGTTAGAAACAAAAAAGAAACCACTCAATGAGTCTAGATTTGAGCATATGAAATGGAAAATTCAACATACAAGATATGTTGGAGTATAAATTATAAATTTAACTTTTATTATAACTTTAGAGTCTTAGTGCAACTGATAGGAGTTTAGGAGCACAAAAAGATAGATACGAAAAGGAAAAAGGATTCAAGACAGAATATAAGGACAAATAAACTTTGCCTTGGCATTTGTATGACCATCCTCAACTCCATTTCATGTGCATATACTGTACCTTCTATATAAGTATTATGTTCAAAGATCAATGCGAAGTGGAAGCACTAACACGTATCAAAATGCCCTTGGTTTATTCTTGGGGTTGGTAGTTCCAAACTGGCCATTCCTTTTGTTGAAGAGACTTGCTAACTCCTTTCGGTTTTTCCAAAGGTCATTCATGTCTCGCTCTGGCCTACAATCTAATAAATCAATTTATTTTTTAATTCATACAGAAATCCCAATTTTATTCCATTGTCACAGCAAATTACAAAAGTCCACTTAGAGTAGATCTTATCATTCTGATCAATTTTTGGGATCAAGGGAACCCATTTTGATTTTTAGTGTTTAGGTTGAAGAGTATGTACAGATTCTCACGTTGTGAAGATCTAGACGTGGTTTTTTTTTTTTTTTTCTGTGAGTTGTTCAGTAAGATTAGCATACCTAAAATAAGGTAGGCAACTGAGAAATTGCTTCTGATGTTTACAAGTTGATTGATTATATCACAATCCAGCAGTTGAAAATGAGACAAGGAGATTGCCTGATTGAATGTAGATAAGTGAAGAAAGGATTAGCTGTAGTTATGTCCAAATCGAAGTTAATCTGTCCCCAAAAACGCTACATTAATTCCTCAGTACAAACAAATTAAGGCACAGTAGAATTCTCTGAAAGCATCCGAGAAGGAACTTTGCAAGCTGAAATAATGGCCCAATAAGGTAATCTCTATATGGGCTGGCCAATGTTGAGAAGTTGGGCTTAGTTCGAACAAAAAAAAAGGGAAAGATGAAGGTCTATTTCTCGCAAATTGCATACAACGAGTGTGATATTTGTGCGGATATTCTCTAATTCTCTGAGATGACATGAAAGTGCTGAATATTTACAAGCACATATGTGAACTTTCTTTCAGGTCCCCAGAAATATTTACGTCGCCTAAATATTTAAGTTGCCTGGACAGGTTCTGCTGCAATTTCAGGTCCATTTACAAGTAGATTACAAAACCTAACAGGGGGACTACTATTATACAAATGTACAGTTAAATACAAAAGAATGCGTCTCTCCCACCAGAAACAAATTCAATTTCATCATACAATCAGCTTAAAGAACAAGACCTAGTAAACAACAGAGCCGAGCCATTCACTCCACGAAGAACCAGCAACCTCGAATCCACGTAAGTCCCACAAACAAATTTCGACACATCAAACATCTCTGGTGGAATCTGAGTTCTGGCCTCTCTAAGCACATCTCCAGCTTCTTCAGCATTCAACGGCATCGGCTCAAGTCTCATCTCAACATCAATCTCTCCAGCGACCAGTTTCGCTGTTGGGAGCCCAAATGGAGGCTCCTTTGCTCCAAGTTCTTTCAATTTCCGGCTTGAAACTTTCCATACATTTGATTTTTGAGTACTGAAAGGGCTTGATTCGTTGTTGTCTTCTCTGAGATACAGTCTTCTTCCTGGTGCTACTCCCAGTGACGAGGTGGTGTGTAAGTATCCAAGAGTTCCAGATTTGTTGTGGGGCCAGTTGGAAGATGGCATGACAGTGAAGGAAACATCGGATGAGAGGGAAAATGTGGGAGTTTTTGGATCAGAGGATGGAGTAAAAGTGAGGTATGCGTTGTTGATGAGGACTCGGAGAGAGGGTTGGCGTAGCGTGAGACCGATGTGTCTACCAGTGCAGTATAGTAGTCTCCATCGGCCTGGAAGGAATTTGAGCCAATTCTGTGCACGCCAAATCAATAAGAAAAAAATCAACCTTACATTGAATATTAATACGCGTGATTGAGATGGTGAGTTATTAGACAGATTCTGATTGGTTCATTTGTTTCCCGAAGTTAGTGAGCATATTTAATCAGAAGTAAAATTGAATTTTCAAAAGGACATAATTGTGATTTGTGATGTGTCCCACCTCAAAATAACTGCCATAAGATTTGAAAATGGCGAAGAAAGTTACCTTCCGTCTAGGATGAGGGTTCAATAGCTCCATTAATTCAATGAAATGAGCTATTCTTGATCGCTGCTCACAAATAAAGGGAGAACAAGTAAAACAACAGTCAAGACCTATAGCAGGTTAAAGACCTTGCTGCATATCAATAGCTTCATTATTATTAAAGTTCTGAAACATTAATGTTGTGCGCACCATTATGTCCATATATATATATGTGTGTGTGTGTGTGTGTGTGTGTGTGTGTTAGCTTCATTACTATTAAAGTTCTGAAACATTAATGTTGTGCGCACCATTATGTCCATATCTATCTGTGTGTGTGTGTGTGTGTGTGTGTGTGTGTGTGTGTGTGTGTGTTAGCTTCATTACTATTAAAGTTCTGAAACATTAATGTTGTGCGCACCATTATGTCCATATCTATCTGTGTGTGTGTGTCGTGTGTGTGTGTGTGTGTGTGTGTGTGTGTTTGTGTGTGTGTGTGTGCGTGCGTGCGTGCGTGTGTGTGTGTGTGTGTGTTCTGTTTTCTCATGTAATTGCGTGTTTGTGTGTGTGTGTGTGTGTGTGTGTGTTGCTTTTCTCATGTAATTGCGGGAAAGAAGAAAGATTATGTTGCATGAAGGAAGCAACTAAAAAAAAGGGGGGGGGGGTACAAGCGCATAAAAATGAGTACTTATTTCCCTTCATTGTCACTACTACCCACTAGAAAGAAATTCAGTGAGCTAAAATAAATGTATGGCTTGACTCTACCATCCTTCTTCCCCTTTTCTCCTCCCTTTTCACTTACTTTCAATGGAGCCAAATATATAGACTAAATGGGAATGACAAAGGAAAGTCATTCAACTACTTAGAAAAGAAGATGAAACATAGCACTATGAAAAAAAATTCAAAAGCAGCTAATCTTAAACTTATGCAGGTTCCCTAGATGTCAACATTTAAAAAAAATTCTATAAATTCAGTTACATCATAACTCCCCAATATTACTTCTATATAGCCAGCTAGCCTAGCTTAATGGTTTTATTCTTACTTTCTACATGCCCATTATCTATGACACTTTCTTCTCTGAAGCGACCAAAGCATTTGCCACTTTTTACATTTGCATCTTTGTAAACTTAAAGGGGTTCTTAGTAAATGTATTGCTGGAATAGAAGGGTTTAAAAAAAAGACAAATAAACTTTAAAACAACCAGATACTTCATTGAGCAAATCCAAGGAATTCAAGTACCTGATGCCGGACATATATATAATCTTCTGCCATCCGGACAGTAGTTGAACCTAATCCCCACCTGATGATATCCATAGATGGTTCCACTCGCCATTTAGGTCCACAGAGAAATGGATGTCTCAGTGCGTCCAAGCAGCTGCATGAAAATGCATAGCATGGCTCTTTAAACTCTGTTTGATAGATATGTAAAAGAAAGCAGGGATGCTGCCAGAATGGTGCAAACATCCTAAAAACAACATTAGATTCACGAGTTCCTGGAAACAAGAAGAGACCAACACTTCGGAGCTGTAAATAAATTTTAGTAGGGATATAATCATCCCAATATGAAGCTATGACCCCCTAAATTACCTGATTCTGTCAGAGGGTTTTGTTGCGAGCAGCAGTGACAAAAGATTCCAACCTGCACCCCAGTTCCTGTCTAGCATCTACAAGAAAATGATGAAATAATTAAGCCATTATATACTAAATGAGAAACCTAAAAAACCTGATCCTATTACAAATATACTAACTTGCAAACCGTCATTCCCGGATGGGGAGTCTCGAGAAAGAATGGGCAAGAGGAACTCACGCAGGCATGACGGGTCATTTCCCTGCCAAAAGACATATGGAGTTAACAGTGACAACTTGCTTTGACATTGAAAGCCCCACCCCACCCAACCCACTAAAAAAACAACAAACAAAAGCAAACAAACAAGTGGAGGTTTGTTACATATAGTGTTCGGCAGATTATTCTCTTATGTGATTCAATAAATTAAAAAGGCTTTTCAATGAATGATGACCTGACATTACAAATCAAAATCTGATACGCAATTTCTGGACTGAAATGATAACCAAATATTGCATGGGTCCGGTGAATAGGCACAAAGTTTTACTACAAATTCAGGACGGCAAATTCAACAATTTACCACTGCAAATTCTTGCTGAAAGGACATTATGATGTTCTTTGACCATACATAAATATATGGTCTTGCTACCTCTGAAGCACTTGGTTAGCCAAGAAATGGACATTAATTATGCAAGTTCTTTTTACCTATTAAATAATTACAAGGCACAAGGTTCAAGTTGTCCAGTGTAGCATCACGAGAAATCAACATAGTCTAATCCCTTTTACTAATTCAATTTAACATAACTGGCGGTATCTTAATCTCTAAGAAATGCAATTAAATCTATATTAAGTTATGACTAATCAACAATTATATCATTTTCTCTCTTTTAGCTTGCTCTATCGTGGAAAATCAACATAGCTAAACGCTGAAGGCACTCATCATCAAGCTTCTACTTAAACTTTCCTGAGAAAATCGATCTCCTTTTATCCTCCTTATTTCATCTCGCCGCTGAGACATTACAAAATCAACTCTCAGCACTTCAAGATGATTGGAATATTTTTTAACAGGCTAGTTAGGCTTGCCTCTAAGCTAGGATTGTATATGGGAGGTCCTAAGTTTTATCTTCCAGAGTAAGCTAGGATTGTATATGGGAGGTCCTAAGTTTTATCTTCCAGAGAAAACCAAGAACAGAGAAAGATTGCCATAAAATGTACCGTGAGTTGGCACAACTACTTTTTCTCCTTTTGTAGTACGAGGCAACCTAAATTATTGGTTATTCCATTTAAGCTCATTCATTCTGAGAGCGAACTCTGAAATTCCACCGGAGAAATAGGACTAAGGGAAAGAAACAATAGGATTGCCAAAGACTTCACGTTTATGCTGAACCTCCATATTAAACTGATCAACAGCTGAAGTTAGATTAAACCTCATATATTCTTTTATTTGTGAGTAGTAGACTTCCCAATATGAAAAAAGGAAACAAACCTTAGTCAAGAAAGACTTAAATTTCGTGAAGGTCGAAGGTTCCATGAGTTCCCTTAAAATCATCTTTGCCATAATGAATCCAACACACCTGAGCAATAGAGAGTAAGTGAAGCCTTCAGAAATGGAATTCTAGAAATTTCATTATGAATGTCAATTTATAAAGTTGATAAGCAGAATATGTCTCCTCAAGTTTGTAACCTTACCTCATGTCAAAGCCGATCATCAATGTCTTCCTCACAGTGTTACCATCTGCCAAACTATCATGTGAACTCTTGTCGTATAAATCAACAGCATTTCCTAAAATGCCTACCTAACAAAACCAGAATTAATGTGGAAGAATTAAATAAAGGAATGCCTTGAAATGGATAGTGCCACTTCATCTGGAGTAGGTATTGTTTGGGTGGTAACAATGTGGGGATTATATTAATGTGCTTACACATTAAATATGCATGTGTCCACTCATCAGCATATGTAACATAATTTCACCCAATGTCTAACTGACCCCTGTTTTTCTCTCAAAGCATACTACAATTTCAACTGAAACAAACTTCGTACACTAAAATACAAGATATTAACTTTGCATGGAATATCTAACACAAAGCATCCAAATAGATGTAATATTCCTGTGTTTAACTCTAACATATTCCCAAACACTATATTGTTCTTAAATCAGATAAACCAGGCATAAACAAGCATTTTCAGCTGAATCCTGATCCAACTATTGAGCAATTATGATCGCCATCTTAGAACATGGATGAGAAGGATGGCTCCAAAGAAAGAGGGAAAGGATTAAAGCAAGTTGAGAATTAATGTTTGTGAGCATTATTTATTCTCATCACCCAATTACAACTTAACACTTAAATTTTATGCAGCTCGCTGAAAATTCAGAAATTATCATTGATAGATAGATACCGTAACTATAACATTACTTGGAATTACAAATAACATTAGTATGCACAGAGACATTTAAACAGATATGATAGTCATTGACTTAACTGAGAAGATGACCCACTACAGAGCTGGATGGAATAAAATGGTTAATGTAGTCAACCCCAAAGGTTTAGGATAAAGGCTTCCCTTTTGTTTTCCTCCCTTAGCATTTCTTTTTATGCTTCTTAGGCTAGCGTCCATGGACTATAACAACATGGAGATTCAATAAAGGCAAGACTATGGTCTCTTATTTTATGTGTTTGATGAGTGAGCTGAATATAACAATCAGTCATTTTGTTTCTTTCATGTGAGGATGATTGATTGAAGCCTTTGTTATCCACTCTATACAATAACTCTGAAAGATGACTTTAAACTTTCAACTTGTAGATGTCAGATAAAAAGCAAAATCAACATATACGTTGATAATTCAGTTTTATTAATAGCTAATCAGCTCGTTTGCTCTGCTCAAATCACTGATTCAAAAAGTCAGGAACTTTTCTCCTCACACCATGCATGATCAATTTTGAGTGTGAAATAACATATTCAGCATGATACTAATATTTGTGTGATTCCTGTACATGCCTCACATAAATGCCAATACAGAAGTTCTGGCAGTAGGTTGTCGTCTAAATATCTAGAAGGCTACCAAACCCACAAAGAAGTTGCACTGTTCCTCCAATCTACTAATATTCAAGCTCCTTAATAAACTTATTTAAATTTGTATTGTACTGTTACCTACACCAGAAGTCTTAAGTAAGAATAGAGCAAAAAAAGAAGAAAAAAGATGGAAATATATAGTGAATTACATTGCTCTTTTGTTTAAAAGTTACGTTCAGTGTTAAAAGAAATATTTTAAATATAAAAGAAAGATTTCACACTCCAAAGCTTGCAATATAGCATGTTTCATATGTAAGCATTAACTAAAAGTAGTGAAATATAATTATTTTATTGAATATATCCAAGAACAAGATCACCTACTTTAACATGTTTGTCAACTGGGCTAATATGTAAATTCTCCAGTCTTAACTCAGTATGGGCCAGCCCATGGCTGTGCAAGTAATTTACCTGAAGAACCACAAAGAGAAAAGAGAACATAAAAAGTTAATCAAATGTAGAGGTATTTGTCATTAATGAAATGTACTGTCTATACAGTTAGTTCTATTAACATGCTTACACCAATCAAAAGATCTCTCATAAGAATCCTAGTAAGACGCAATTGACGAGTAACAGCAGGGCCTCCAATTGTATCATCACCCACCCTTCTAGCCCACTCGTCATCCAGTGCGAGGGTGGCTTCTAAGGTAGGAAGCCAATCTGAAAGTTGAAGCCAATGCCTCAAGGAATAACTACCATGGTACTGCAAACACAAAGATGGTGCAACATAAGATTCATTCTGTTTCCAACTTTACAATTTTTCTTCCATCCAGTCAAACATTGATGCTTCAAAGAAAAAGCTAAAACTGAAAATAGTTCCATCGACGATCGAATATCTTCTATCTAAAATAGAATAAAAAACCAAGATGGTGCAACATAAGGTTCATTCTGCTTCCAACTTTACTATTTTTCTTCCATCTTTTGTCTAAAACTCTGTCAGTCAAACATTGATGCTTCAAAGAACAAGCTAAACTCGAAAACAGTTCCACTGAAGATCGTACCAATATCTTCTGTCTAAAATAGAATTAAAAACCAGTACCTACTATAGAAATGACAGAAATGAAGGAAAGATGGATGTTCTTACGCAATATCTGACAATCAACCAAATAAGCACAAATGTAGGCTGAGAACTTAGAAAACCGCGTTACTGTTTTTGGCTTGTCAGAGAATTTGTCAGTGGACGAATTAAGCATTCTTATGACTAGGTTCATATGGAACTGAATCATGATCACTGCTCACAAGCAGTTGATCATGATTAGCTTGATTAGCTCTTAGGCGTGTATTATCCGATAAGTGATAGCATACTAGTTCTATTTTGCTTTAGGCTGCGGACAATGAAGTTAAACAGTTCATCTTTTTCCTCTTTGACATAAGAATCTATTAGACATGGATTGACAACCACAGGGACAAAAATAGAAATTCTTTGGAATACATTAATAGTTCAATGTCGAAATTGAGATACAGAATTGAGATATAGACTCTTAAACTATAATCAACTCAAAGCATGATTAAACAGTTTTCAACCCGTATGTGACCTGGATCGATCAAGATCAATCTTTTCCTCATCTTCGAGATACAGACTTGAGATATAGACTCTTAAACTATAATCAACGCAAAGCATGATTAAACAGTTTTCAACCCGTCTGTGACCTGGATCGATCAAGATCAATCTTTTCCTCGCCTTTGACACAACTATAAGAAACTAAAGACTAGAATAATTATTCCAGTAGCAGTAAATTATTAATAGCTCAATGTTGAAATTGAGATACAGACTCTTAAACTATAATCAGCTCAAAGCATGATTAAACAGTTTTCAACCCGTTTGTGACCTGGAATGATCAAGCTCAATCTTTTCCTCATCTTCTACACAACTACAAGAAACTAAAGATCAGAATAATAGACTATTCCAGTAGCAGTAAATTATTACCCCGTGCACCAAGATAAAGGATCCAGGCTTACTACTGCTTGATGAAGACACATAACCATGAACTTGCATTGCATATGAATGATACATGAGCTGCCGCCGTGCCAGCTTCTTTAATACCTGCAATCCAATCTTCAACAAAGTTAAGTACTTGAAAAAATTAAACTCACATAACAATAGTAGCTTGTATTAGGCTCAAACCTCTAATGCTCGTCTACCTCTCCGCTGTGCTTGCACGCTGGTCAACTCTCTAAGCACCACTCTCGAATTGTACAGAGGACTGCAATGAAATGATCCCAATTTACAAACTTTTTCGTCCTCCGACCTCTCAACAATCAAAAAACCCAACTCACCTGCTTGAATTCCTAACCGTCGCCTCGAAAATCACCTCATCCGCCTATAATGTCCAATTTTAAAAATAAAATAAAATAAGCCAGACATCAAGCTACTCCATAACGATCAATACTCAATCCAATCAAAGAAATTACTCACTCGTCCGTGCAAGCCAACGCTAACATGATTGCTCATCACAAAATCCGTCATCTCGAACCTGAGCACCGGCCCCAATTCCTCCTCCACCTCCACCGCCCGATCGCCGCCTCGAGATTCGCGCTCCGACGACGCCAGCGAGCATCTCGCGCCGGCTCTCCTCAATCTACAAGGCGAAGAAGCGATCAAGAACTCTCGACGACCACCGGAAGTAGAGGCGGAGAACCCGAAGGATCGGC